TTACTAAGTTGATGTTATTTAGTTTTGAGATTATATTACTAATATGTCATAGTTCTACTATCTCTCAATTGTTATAATCAATTTATTTGTTTAGATATAATATGATTTACTATTATATATATTAATAAATCTAAACATGTTTGATTATATTCAGAAAGATAATCATATTTTATTATTCATTAATGACTTTCAATTGTTATTGTTAATTGTAAAATATTAATAAAATTAGTAGCAGAGCATGTTCATAAATTTAAATGCTTTAAACTATACTATTCAATCTATAGATAAGCTCAAACATAAAATAAATTGTTGGCTTATATTGTTTTTTAATGTAATACTCTCAAACTTTTTTTAAATTATAAAATCTGGATTGGTTTTTAGTTAGAATTAAAGAATATAAAGAAAAATAAAATTGAACTAATTGAATAATATGTTTATATTGATCCTTTTGACAAAAAATTTTTTACTTATTTGGATCAACTACAGACTTATTATTTAAAAGATTAGTAAGTAGAAGCTTACTAAGTACTTGTTGATTTCTTGGTTCTGGTTGCCAAATTAGATCTATTATTACATAAGTAGCATGTACTATATATATATTATATATTGAATAAGTAATTTCTGTACTAGAAAGTTTTTTTTTATAGCATGAAAAATATGCCAATAACATAATTGAATCTATGCTTGAAGCTAAACTTTCTGAACAGATGTAATCTAAGAAAAAATCTTTGTTTGTTAAAAAGGTTTTAATATTATAAATATTCTGTTATTTAATTATATTAAACCAGTTTAAAATACTAGATAAACATCTTTCTTTTTGGTTAGGTTTTAAAAATAAATAAATTAAAGAAAATTCTATTTTAACAATTATTTCAAGAATTACATAAAGTCTATATTTAAGTTAATTGGTCTTGAATATAGCATCAACAACAATAATAGTAATTAGTTCTTTTGAAAAAAAATTAAATAAAGGAGTTATAAAGGTAATAGTAGCAGATTGTTAAATAATTATTTTAAATATAATAAACTTTGGAATGTTAAAATTGTTGATTTTATCTGATCTTTAGCTATTTTATATTTATTAAATCCTAACCTTTTATACTAGAAATAAATCTGATATTATGTAGTATAAAGATAATCCTTGAGATGTAAATCCTTTATATTATGATATATTTGAGGCATTGTAAGAAACCTGTTGTTTTGAATATAACTTTTAATTTCAGATGATACTAATACTAACTGAAATCACAGATATAGTAAATGATAAATATGAATATAAACTAATTTATATGATTGCTTAATTGTAATAAGAATATATTCTTTATATTTAAATTATGAAAGTTAAGGCTCAATGTCTTATTGTTTATTAAAATCTTCAACTTATAGTTTTTATTATTTTCTCTGATTTACAATTACAGTAAAACTAAAGAATATGATAATTTAGTGAAGTGGATAAGTTATCAATCCCCCAAATGGTAGGTTGGAAATTTAAAACTCACTAATAGCAAAAATTTGAAAAACCATCTATGTTATATTAGTATTACAGAAGATAAATAGTATTATAACAACAGTACTCCATCAATCAGTTGGAATCAGATACCTGTAACACAATCGCACCAGCATGACTAGCAGGTTATAAGGCATTTGCACAATATTGAACTTATACAGAAGAATACAAACTAGCATTAGGCAGTGCAAATTCAAGATAAGTCCTTGTAACTATATAAATTCATGAACTGAGAAACCAGAACTCACTTGGAATGATCCAAGTAAAGAAGTAACACAGATCTTTGACTGTATTACTATAAAGACTAGACCTAAAAAATGGATACCAATGTAAAAGAAATCAGGCAGACAAGAATCTCAGATGAAAGATACCATCAATCAGGTTGTCAGAAGTCTCGAACCAAAGGAAAAGGACCTTAAAGAGTAAACTCTAAGGTACCAGAGACAGGTTATAGTTCTATTGAATTGAGAGTCTGAGGTCAGAAGCAGAGTATATTATAAATACTAAGAATATATTGTAAAATCAATACTAAGGTTTGAATAAACTTTACAAGGATGAACCCTGTTAGCAAAGATTAAATATAAGTAGTTAGTTAGTAGAAGAACCCCCTAAAACCTTACAGTTAGGTGACATATGCTGAAATGTGTAATAACTTGACAGATATACAGATAAAGAAATTAAGGTTAGGTTAGATAACATCTAATTAAGTGTATAGAAACTTGTGTGTTATCTGCTAGTATAATATAGAAGTAACCTTGTACAAGTTATGTAATCATAATTGAATTTACAATAAAGGCAATAGCCACCAATAACTAATGGCCTTAGTGAAAGCAAAAAAAAATATTTATAGTAAAACTTAAAAGATATACTATCTTTTAATTTGTTACAAGTATAATAAATATAAATATATCTGTTAGCCTTAGAGATAAGTTTTATAATCTGATAAGCAACATATTTATTAATTTCATCTTTATTAGTTTCCTGAATAGAATCAAAAAAAGAGTTAAAATGAATTGCAATGTTTGCATTAAATTCTTGTTGACGAAGTTCAGTATTGTCAAAATCTTCATAAGATTTCAAAAATCCTAAAAATGTTTCTACAATTTCTTTCTGTCTATAAGCTTTACTTTGCAACTCCATAATTTTTTTGTTTTCATCGTTTTTCATTTTAATTTTATTAACATTTCCAATAGATATTCGACACTTATTACAAGATTTGACAATACATCCTCACAACCTAATAAAACTTTCCTTGAAATACCAGCCCTTACAATGATTACATTTTTGGTTTTCACCCAATTTTCCTGATAGTTATCCATAATAAAATTTTTATTAAAAAGATGACAAACGCAAAAGAAGAAAATAATAATAATAATAAATAATGGTTATTAATCATTTATCATTATTAAATCAACTTTAATGATATGTAATAATAGCGAATTATTAATCATTTATCATTATTAAATCAACTTTAATGATATGTAATAATAACGATAAGTTCTTTATAGTGATAAACGGTAGTTAAAATTTACATTATGGCGGCGAAATCACTATATCACGTGATAGCGAAATTTATTAGACTGGCACCGCTTCCCTCCTATGTAATTTCGAATTTTGGCCTAAATTAAGCTTAATTCGGGCCAGAATTCCAAATAACGCTCATGGGCGTTATTATGTAAATCATTTGTACGCGTAATTAAAATCAAAACAGTTAAAACAGTAAGTGTATAAAATCATCTTTGTCCTTACTTTTATAAGATTTACTTTTCATCTTTTTTACTTTTTGTTTTTTTGCTTTTCATTTTCAACAATTTATTAGGAAAAGAGTGCTTGTTACATTATGATCAGGGTTGGCATGGATCAGTCAATGGTCAAGCTTGACCAGACCAGTTGGTCAAAGAGTTTAGTATTGGTCAAATTGGTCAAATAATATATAAAGTATATAAATATATTTGTTTATTTATTTGTATATTAAAATTATTTATTTAATAGGCTAGACCATTTGACCAATTTGACCAGACCATTTGACCAATTTGACCAGACCAGTTCGACCAACAAATTTTTGGTCGACCAGTGATTTGACCAACTCTGATTATGACGTTTCCTTGTGGTGCTTATTAGATGGAAGTACCTAAACGATACTCCAGTCAAGCATAATAGCCAAGGAAATAAAACGCTAATAAAGTCGAATTGCACGCATGGAGTTAGGAACCTTTCGTATTTCGGATCGACCACATACCCCAATACTGAAAAATTAACAGCTTTATTCGAATTGTTCGACGGCAACTCGCAACGAGTATAAGGAAGAGAGAATATACTAATTGCACCATTGTTCCTAAGTTTATGTCTATGGCCCTGCACTAAATTGATGTCGAGTCATAAAGTCTCTCCCAGGTCACAAAACAACTAACAGGTTTGTATTTATACAATCGTATTATGCTTATTGTCCGGATCTCAGATTCGAACTGATTCATTTTTTTTTTTATTTTTCGATAATATCGAATCGAAAATTTTAAAAAACTAGGCATCCATAATTTTCTCCGGAATGATTATTCAACCGTTTTCAACCGGTTTCACCCGATTTCGAATTATACGGGTGACGATTTGCATCCGGTTCGGAACTCTACTCGATTGACATAATTATATTCAAAATAACGCTCGAAATAACGTGCAGTTGCCTGTTATGTCGAGAATTTACGGTACAAATCCTAAGACAAGCAAAAAATTTTACTCGTTTCTGAAATCTCTTCAATTTTGTTCTAAAAATCATGGGGTATGGGCCTGCAAATTGCCTATTTTTGAGGCCCGGCCCAGCCCGCATTTAGGGTTGAAAATTTTTTTGCCGGCCTGGCCCGGCCCGGCCCGCAAAATTTCTTATATTATTTTGCAAAATTCTAGGCCCGGCCTGGCCCGCAATTATAAAATTTTGCTTCAGGCCCGGCCCGGGCTGCGGGACCCAATGCAGGCCTCTATCATGGGGTATAATTTCCGACGAGTTTAACAACTTATAGGACGGAACCAAAAGTTCTTGAGAAACAAACAAATTTCAAAATTATGGGAACTATTCAAGTAATTTTGAGGGAAATATTTTTTTTTGTTAATTAGATATCAGGCCCATCACTTAAATGTCGGTTCATACTGTTTATAAGTCACATGATGTGAGACCGAACGAACATGTATCCTAGATGAGGTACAACATATATACCAGCCTAATTCTCAAATAATACCGGGTATAATTATATTAACCTATTAATTTATTAATTTATCGTTATATCCAAATATATTGTAATCAATTTACTATAACAATAAGCAATGCTAAGCGGTAAATAGAACAACAGAACTGTGCTAAATTGTAAATGGTTAAATGTATGAATGAAGTAACGTTATTGGATCTCGAAGGAAACAACGAATTAAGAGTAATAATTAAGTAGCTAGTAAGGAATAACTACAATACAAATTAAATATTGTTAATAATATACAAATATGTATAATGTCAAATGGGAAGCACCAAAAAATTCAATGTCAATCCTACTATTACACTGAACACTAATTCTTTAGTATTCTCTAAGAAAGAAGCACCGCTAACAACATTGCTTGGTTTTGAGTCTGCTACTTCTTTACTAGACCCAGATTGTTTGGCAGTTTGAGCGCTCGACGGTTTAGTGTTGGATTGTGCGGTTTTTGACGCTTGTGCCACTGGTACGTAGGAAGCTGGTGTATCACTGCTGGAAGAAGTCGGTATACTACTGCTTGAAGTTGGTGAACTACCAATTAAAGAAGTTGGCGAAGAATTGGTCGAGTTGGATACTATTTCGCCATCTTGGCCAGGATTTTTTCCAGATGGAGGCGCTGGAGATGTAGCTGGCGGATATTGACCATTTGAATCAGTAATCGTAAATCTTGTTGTGTAGTATTCATTGGTAGTATTAGCACCATCAGTAAACCTGTAAAAGTACCCTATAAAGATAATATGATTGAAGATTATGTCATAACGATAAGAAATATTTCACAATTATTGGACGAAATCAAAAAGATGCATACATTTGCCAACAGGTCTAACTTGAGGTATAACATGATCACAATATAATTGACTATTGCTAGGCAAGAGTTCGCAAACTTTTGCAAGATATTTTTGTTGTTGGTCGGAGCCTGACATAAAATATACTATTAATTTAGGAAATGACGCAATACTTGGTGATTTTCCATCGTCTTGCCACGCTATTCTGAGCTATTAGGATATCATGTGTTAATTAAAATCAGACTTTTAATAATGAATTATTAAAAAAACTTACAGTTGAACCAGGTTGACAAACAGTATCAGAGATAGGTGCTGTCGGATTTACCCCTGCGTCTATTAATACGCTTATCGACAATATCGACAGAATTATACAAACTAAAAGAATAGTCAATTTCATTTTTTATTCTTTATTTTTTGGGTTTTTTTTCTCTATAAAGTATTGAAGGAAAGTATTAAAAAGATTGAAAGACTAAAAAAATCAAAAAAAAATGAGAAGGGAAAGTTTCTAAAATGGTCGATAGTATTAAATTATCTAATTTTTATCATTTCACTTTGAAAAACAAAGCATAAATCGGTAATAAATAATTTAATAGGCACGAAGGTTTGTAAAGAACAGGTTAAAGATATGAGGAACGAAGACTAAAATATAAAACTGACGCGCACAATAGTACACGATCATGGTGTAACATAAGTTAGTTTACTTTGCTTTATTGGTAAACAGTGAAATTATGTGTTCCAATGTATGCATCCGTATTAAATAGATTACGCCTGCTATTCTTCTAATGTAATCTCCGATTATGAACATATCGGTATAAAATTACTATGATTATACAACTGAGAGAATTTATTCAGCATCTTATTTGTACAGTACAAGCAGTCTTAGGCATGAGCATACATATAAAAGTATTTAATTTTGGCTAATACCTTAAATGGATATTCTAATGGATTATACGTGATACAGTACGATATTAGGTCCTCTTCCTTATATAAAAAAAAAGAAATCCAATATGATCACGCGTAATATGATTATCTTTACATTCTCAATTGCTAATTTTCCATCTTTATTTTTAGATTTCTGAGGCATTTGATTATATTTGTCCATTATTAGGATTGAATGCCTTGATAAGTTAATAGTCTATCGTATTTAATTCTATATATATACTGAATATTGGTTTTCTCCAAAAGCAGAATGGAATATAAGAATCGAAGATCTAGGTATGATATAATAGGGTTATGTAATATTTTTAACACCCAAGTAACAAATTCTTGATACTAAAAATAAAATAGTAAAAATAAAAAGTCCTGTAAAGATTTTGTTCGGAAAGAGAAAGACTAATGCTCCCTAAAAATTTGCAATGCAATAATATTTGGATTAATGAAATGTTATTTGTGTTGAGACGAGTTTGGGGAGATCTCCGAAATGAATTGCTGCTGTGAGAGATTTACCGTAGATTCTGATACAGTGATCGCAAAAAATTGTTCACATCGTACCTTCTATAAATCGAAAATGGCTAAAATAAATTGACCGTTCCCGAAATATAGCCATTAAATACTGTCAATCGTTAAAATTAGACTCGGAGGTCAACGGAAACAAGCAATCGTTTTTTAATATCAATATTGCATAAGTGGTTGTTTTCGATGATTTTTGTCTTAAATGAATGCATTCGTTTAAACCCAAAATTATCAAAAACAGGTCAGCCATCCTTGAGGTATTTGGTGCATCACTGTCCACCATGTAGCAATAATTCATATATGGCTAATCCGTTTTGATGATTTTGGCTTAACGTTAAAGGAATTTTGTTATTTATTAGAGTTCCGATCCATTATCCGTTGTAAACGTAAACGGCGAGTCAGTTGCTCACACTCGGATTTGTCGTGTAACCACTTAGGAAACTCATACAGGGGGATCCCCAAAATTCCGGGTCGGAATACATCGGAACCATGATCGGCAGGGCCGGAATTAACTAATTTTGCCCAAGATCACTAAAAGTTTTACTAATGAAACCAT